TATTGCGGCAACGCAGACGTTTGTAATAGATTAAATGAGTCCTTCTGAATGTATAAAACGATCGCCCACAAAGTGATTCTAGGATACAGGGTATGCTTTGCAATTATTTAAATGTATCTAAATGTTTTCATGTCGGCAGATTTTGTCGATCTTTCCGATTCCGACTCTCGTCCTCTGACTGTTAGAGAGAAGCGAGTAGCGGTTGATGTCACGTCAAATCTAGCGATCAGAGGCCGGGGGTCAGGGTTCATTTGGTAGTGCATCGGCCACCCCGCATCACTCTCGGGTCCACTGTAGTCTGTCGCGAATTTTTATACTCTCTCGTAACTATCGTAGCGTAACCGAATCCCTCATCTTCATATCACTTGCAACTTAAAAAATTTGCTTGGCTTCATTCTTTTAACAAACTGTACTTGCCAAATTATAACCTCTTATATAATTTATTAAATGTGGATGGCTGCAAAATATAGATCGTTTGAATGAGGGGTATAAAGGTGGAAAAATCGTTATTAGCAATTTTAGCAGTCACAAGAGATTATAGTCAAAAACAAATTTTTAAAATCCACGTTTTGTTTCCTTATTTTTTTTTTGTTTATCTTGCTATTTGATCTCGTCGCGACGCTTGCGTAGTCATGGAATTATTGCACTCGAGAATCGTTGAATTATTAGTAAATGGTATGGGAATTAATATCGGAGTATGGTTATTTAGAAAAGTAGGTAAATTAAGCGCCGGTCGGTGCAAGTGAGCCGCGAGTCGAATTAGCATCGATGAGTTTCATACGTGAGGAGAAACGTCGTGTCGTTACCGTGTCGTACGTTATAAAAATCAAAACGCATCCGACCACCGTTCGTTTGTAAGTTGAATGCCAATATCTTAATCGGGGTGAAAATATAAGGATTCGGAATTATTCATACGGTTATATATCTATTTATATTATAAAGATATGGGGAGATGCGCATAGTGCTTTTATGTAGATCCTAGTAATGAAACAAAATTATCTAGTCATATTACCTTCTGTTGTTTTTTTTTACTATCGCTTAGCATAAATTAGCTTCAAGCACACGATTATCCACTTTATACTACTTTACGTATTAACACAATGTTAGATTTTATTCTAATTTAGAGTATTTGCTAACTACTTTTGTATTTTAATTAAATCTAATGACTATCTTACAAACATTATTACTTCAAACTAAACGCTTTAAAACATTTACTACCATTTTTAGTGTCGTAAAAAGAGTTTTCGTTTCATAAGTTATCCAGAATATTGTTTCACGCTTAAATCCTTCGCAAACACTTGTATTCTATAAATTAATTTGGAATGATTTGGAGAATGGTGTTTTGGACTCGAATTACCCACGTATTCGCAATGGTTTAATGTAAATTAACATTTTTAAAACAATATAATAAATATAAATTCATAAAATACTGAACAGAAATAGTCCAGTTACTTGAAATGTATCTATGTGAATTATGACGGTATTTGGTATTGCCAGATAAGAATTTATACTTGTTAACTAAACCGAATATTAACACATATTTCAAAAGAATTTACACATAAGTAGTGTAATTTAAATTCAATACTTCTATGATATTAATAAACTTTTAAATAAAATAATTATATAATAAAATTAAGGGTATTGTCGTGTAAATAAAGAATTTGGTAGGTCTGGTAACATTTTAACGGGACAATGTCGCTTCTTGTCGGCAATGTATCGTTAATTTATTGAGTTGTATATAATCACGCCGTCCGTTATTTCATCTATATCCAATTTATGACAATTACTAAAGAAAAATAACACATCATTGGCTTTCTTGAAAAAAAAAATTGTTATTCAATGTGCGTAAAAGTGAAGACCTAAATCAACTTTGGAAACTTAGTAGTAGTTGTTAATTTTTATGAACAAATGTTTTGTAAAACATCAACCTTGTTGAAATTATAATATAATTTTCAATATACAACTTCACTTCAAAAATAAGTCTCCCATAAAATTCGTTCTCTTACCAGTGTTGCCAGAAGTAATATTTTAAACAGACTACTAAACATGACTAGTATTGTTAGCATAGGAAGTTCTTCAAATCTCATATTTCTGTAATAAACTTCATGTAATACTAATTATCGAGTAAGCTTTTAATAACCTACAAATCCTTACTTTTCCTACATTTTAAAAATAATTTATATAACTCTAATGAAAATGGAAAACTAAAACATATGTATTCTATAACGTTGAGGAAACAAAACAATACGTGCAACCTAACTTTCATTGTTATCAAAAATGTTTAAGACATTTTTGACATCATATCTAATTTAGGAGCTTACTAGCCTTTTGTCCCGGGGCCGCTCGGACGGATGACAGGGTGTCGACGTTATATTGCTAAGTGGAAATCATAATCATTGAGAATTTCAAATATTTATAGCACTTTGTCGGGTTTCCTCGTAGCAAAGTAACCAGTCAATGTCAAATCAACTGTTTATCAAAATCATCGCACCGTTTGAATTAATCAATTATAACAAGGAAACATATAAAAGGACAACTTAGGTTGAAAAGAAAACGTATTTTACGTTCAGAATACATTGTTCTGGATAACTTATATTGTATAGTTTAAGTAAACACCGCGCCGTGCTGTTTTATCTAAGTTCATTCAGATCAAGATTTTCATTTATCTGTAATATCGAACCCATTGATAAAATAATTATCTAATAAATTGCATCCTTAGCAGATCGTGTTTATGTTCGAGCTTTACACTCAACAAAAATACAATAAAAGTATCTAAATATCTTTCTGCGAACGCTACAGAACCCGATCTACTATGTTTACGATTAGTATATTCATAATGAAATCGTTATTATCAAAAGGTCGAAGGTCATCACCTTTTTGTTAGCAGTTTCAGAGCAGTCTAGCTGTTCAGGTTTAGCTTAGCGAAGGGATGCCAAGGCATCTGTGATATACGCTTGTATAGTTCGTCCATTCAACCTATTCTACGTATCAACATTATACTCCCGTCTTTGTTTTGTGTCATTAACTAAATTATGAAATTAAAATTAAGTGATAAGTAAATATAAAAATTGAAAATCAATGTATTTTACACATAAAACAATTTTTCAAATTAATATTTGTAAAACACAGGTGTGTTGACTAGTTACCAACGTAAGTGAAACGTGAAATAATTCTTTCCTTCATGTGGACTCTTTTGAACACGAAACTTTTAAATTCGCCAAAAAGAAATTGTTTCAACTTGTAGAATTTATTGTATGTTTAGAAACTACAGTCATATGTGTTAATGTAATTATTTTGCAAGAACAATCTACTTATGTGTCTGTAGATACATTTAAATAATGAATGAACCACAAGAATCATATTTTTATTAAAATGTAAAGTTGTTTAGTGTTTTTACATGTTAAAGATAACAAGACAACTTTTTAAATTTAATTATTATCAATATCAAAATATGTATTCTAGGTCAAACATAGTTAAGAAGATAATGATATGTCTAATTGTTTATGTTAAATCATAAGTACATGGACCGTTGTTTAGGGAATTTACTATCTTTCACCTTGTAATAAAGTTTGATAAAGATCATGTCCAGCTGTGAGCACAGAACAATATTTGTTCATTCGGCTTTAGTTGATAATAAATTAGCGAGCCTATGAATAGTCGCGACAGCTTTCTCCTCCTAGTTAATAAGGTGTTTAAATAACCATTTACAGACCAGATTTACTATACGCTTTTATAAAAATAAATTATATTATGAAAGTGGTATGTACTAACACTAAAATAGGAACTTTAAAAGCTGTGCTCAAAGTTGGAATGATACGTTCACTGAGTATGGAAATTGTTTTAAAGTGAACGCAGCTTTTCTTATAACTATATCGATTTTTATGTAATCTTCTAAATCGTTCGAAGTTAGTTAAATGTTTTAAAATAATATGACATGATTGTTTTGTGTCTTGAATGATATATTGTGGATTAAAACAAAGTAATATTCTTCATTGCATTTAATAGCTAGGCTATTTGAAATATTTATTCTCGTATATTGTTATAGATCGCCAAAGATTGTAAAATAAGAGATTATGGTCACTTATTTTGAACGTTAAGTATTGTTTTATTAACTTTTTTTCGTTTTACAAAACAATATATTCCTGTTTCAGTGGGGCAACTTCTTGAACCACAGAAACAGATTTATTGAACCACTCACTATGGAACTAAAACAATAAATTTGCCTACTTTGCATGTCTAGTTTAGTTAATTAAACTTATCAAGTTATTAATATGTATATTGCTGAAATATTTCAAAACTAAATTACTATTCAATTATTTATTATTATACACTTATTACGTTTAGTATGCTAGAAATATGATGAAGGATAATAAATAATTTTAATTATAAACGGTATTTGTTTCATTTTTCTTTTAAACTCAATACAAGGGTTTAATATTAAGACGCTACGCAATTCGTCAAGCGGCACATTAATATCGCTATATGATGAACACTAAATGTGGATCCTTTTATCCTATTAGTGTCCAATTGTTAAAATAAAGTTACTTTAGAAACGAACTTTTAAAGTTGTACCACATAGTTTGTACTGTGCGCTGATTATAAACAACAAGCAATCAATAAGATTTCTATTCTTCTGTTGGTGAGCGTTAAGTAAGACAATTTATATTATGTTAAGACTGTTTCTTTCTTAACTGTTTAACTAAAAGTTTTCTACAAAGATTCTTTAACTATAGAGTCTTCTAACCGACAAACGAAGTCTAGGGCATTTCCTAGTTACATTGTAAGGCACAAGTACTTCCTTTTCAATTTGCGATTTCGTTTTCAAAAGGAAAGAATTTCCTTTTAATGCGGACATATTACTTTGCTGGTAACCCGAATTGCTTAGAGGCGCCATCCTGTTAAAGTCAAAAAGGTGCCACACTATAATCATTTCGCGCCGTTGGAAATATAATATTATGGCAATATATCTGGAAATGTCAATGCCGCGAAAAGTAGGAAAGTAAAAATGACATTGACAACTGACAGTGATAACAAATAAATTGAGGTTATGTTGGTTGATGCGATAATCTTTCATTATAAATTAAAATGAAACTGTAGCACTGGCTCAGGCCTTTATAATTTTAGACATCTTTAAGGACAGTAAGCTACCAAAATGGCTTTAGTCAAATCCAAGCATATTCCAGAGGATGCTGTTGTTCTAAGCGAAATGGAAGCTACCTCATATATTTGGGATATAGTAAACGATTGGGAAACGTTTTCGGATACGTAAGTTAATTAAGATTTTCGAGTATACTCAATTATCCTTTACTTCTAAAAATTAAAAAAATCTATGTGCTTACAGATGGGCGCTAAGATATTCACCGGCTATTTTGGGTGCAATAAACGGCATATGCGGTCTTTTAATAAATAACCACTACCGACAAAAGCTGAAACTTGGCAATTACGGATATTTTTCATCTGTGGTACCAGTGACCGTAATGCCAGGAATACTCACCGCTTTGTTTCACAGGCATGTATGTAACCTAATAAACTGGAATAGTTATTTCACGAATAATATTTACAAATAGATCACCCAAAACTGATTAGGACATCAAAGAGTGTACTGGGTCATAATAAGAGTACTTATAAATCAAATTGTTTTGGTTATCAAAAAAAATTACCCGACGTTCTTACGGTGAAGAAAAACAACATGATGATGATGACAAACAACATGATGCAACCTGCACATATCGGCGAGAAAAAAAAAATCAAAGATATGTGTGAAGTCAACCAACCCGCACTTGGCCAGCATGGTTGACTATAGCCTAGTCACCCCTTATTAGGGTAGGCTCCGAGCCCCTCGGTGGGGACGTATAGTGAGCTGGTGATGATGATGATGGTGATAATAATCCCCATATAATTATCAAAATGTAAAATATTTTATTTAAAACATCTCCACAGGTTATATCAACAAATATGTTACTAATGAAGTTAGATACATGTCCAATATGTTACGAGGTTCGTTCTGGTATGACACAGATAGCATTAGGAATTTTATATCCAATGCTTCTTGGACCAACATCAGCTCTAATGGTAAGTTGCATTTAAGTCTTCTACAATCAGTTCCTTAGTGTATTTCTCAAAGCAAAACTGTTTTTTTTTCAGCTGGCAAATAGATATAGCACTTACCGAGTGCCAGACCTCAAAGAAGGTCCAAAAGCCATATTTAACTTTTTAAGGGCAAAAACTAGACCCTTCAATGCAACTTTAACATACATGGTTGCAATACAAATGGTAGCGTCCTCTGTCTTAACTTATTATGAAATGCGGAACACATTTTCACTACAGAAAAAACTAGTGGAAATTGAAAGAAAGGTATTGGAAGAAAAGGGGATGGTGTAATATGTGAATTTTAAATAGTGTTATATGTAAATAGATAGAAGTAAATCTAATTCGTTTTCTTTAACACTTACCTTTTTATGGGTCCCCAATTTCTAAGGATAGTGAAAAAAAAACACAAGTGTTTCATAACCTATATTATTAGTTCTTTTATTGATATTTACGAATTACAAAAAAACGATCAAACTAATACACACAACTGTAATCAGATGAAGTACATTTAACTACTAAGTTTTGAACACATGCAAAACTGCCCCTTACAACTAATGACATTTGTTAGTGCAATTTCAGAAGTCTGGATAATTCTCCAACACAAACTCTGCTTCACTTCTCAAAACATGTACTGTAGCATTCTCTTCAAACACTATATAGATTTAAAATAAATAGCTGAGTTATTAGAAATTAAACAACACCAGTAACCTTTAAAAAAAGATATTTCTTTTATGCCATTACAAATAAATACATGAAACATAGTAATTTTGTTTATATATAATAAATTGGAGTGTCTGTATTATTAAAAAATGTGGACATGCTAAATTTACATTGCTGATAATGTAAAAACAAGTATTAAATCTTTTATTTATTACTTTATTTATTTCGGCGTTGACGAAGTCGTGGGCAACCGTATAAAATAAGAATTTACAAAAAACATAACATATTTCAATTAAAAATCAGGTAAAAATTTCATTGTCGGTTTTTTCTTTCATAATTTTGGGTCAGATTGATATTTATATTAGTAAAAATTTAGGAATAGCTAATTAGTTGTGCGTCGAGATCAAACCGCATTACTTCATGCGACCATTAGCCTGTTTTAATACATTTTTTCTTCTAACAAAAATAAAATTTATTCTAGAACTTTTACGAGATTTGTGGAACTTTTATAAGTGACTATAATTTAAAAGATTTTTTTAAATCATTTTACATAAAATAAAGGTCCTACTAATAAAAATAGGGCCTTTCTTAGACATGTTTTAAATTATATTAAAAAATGTTTAAATAAACAGAAGAATTGAGAAACTTCATCATTAAATTCTGCTAATTGCTACTTTCAAATATCCGCTTATTGTAATAAAATCCCTCTGCTTCACTCAAAGTTACTTAGATGTCAATGACAAAATGCACAAAAAACTATTCAAGACATACAAAATTTTCTTTACTAAATATAATAATTGTAAATAATATTTCTTAGGCATATTATTGCTTGAGATTTTTCTCAAAGGAGAATTTATTTTACAATGCATATTTTGTTTTAAGTTACTAATACTTTTCAATTAATAAAAAAAAACACCACTAACCAGAGATTGAAAAAATTAAAAGTACAATGTAAGCCAATAATAAAAAGTTGATAACCTCTGATTAGACAAGTGTAAATCAACTCTGATCCAGTTCAAAAGTTCAGGTCACATAGAATTGAACCTTTGAGCTGTGGCTCAACATTCTAAAGAACTCACGGCTCAATGCTGACAATAACAAAGTTAGCCAAAGAGAGCGGAGCTGCCTTATGACTGCTGTTCAGTCAATTCTATGCTGCTTCACACGAGCTGGCATCAATTTTAGAACAATTACCATTCTCTACCCCTGCTCTAATCAATCTAAGGATAATTATCGTCATAAAGACCATCGCCGAGTCTTTTTTCCATACACATACAATTTAAATGAATATTACCTATTTAGTTTACAAAACCTAGCTTTCTATCAGGGCATATGATAATATTCAATATAGCAGAACTTTATGACATAGACCAGGTTATCTAAATTGTGTTCCCCTTATGTAGATTAAAACACAATCATGTTACAGATAATGCTAAATGCTTTTTATTTAAACAAGGCAGACTTATCTATGATAAGGAAGGGATTTTTTTTTTGTTTTTAAGATTATTTCATTTTTTTATTATTTTCCTTTAAACTCTATAGCTTACATAATTATTACTACACGACCAATTATTGTTATCACAAGAATAAGTACTATGAAAAGCGAAAAAATATATAACCTGAAAAGATCTGCTATGTTGACTGACACCAACGGAATAGGCCCTTTGGTCGGAATACCATATGCCAGAAAAAAATACTAATCATTTTCACTAACCAATTCTTTATTATCTATTTATAATCTATGCTTTGAGTGATTTTTTTTAGAAAAAAAATTCTAATGGTCTAATTTCATTCATGTCCTTAAAATATATGAAAACACGTTAAAACAGTTAAATTTTTAAAAATTATTATGGTACATGATAAAAGATCACCCTGTACAGTCCAGTGGTTGTGCACAAAGTTTATTCGCAAAAATTATATTAACTCACCAAAGTACGGATAAACATGCTAAAAAAGCACACAAATTAAAAAATTAACAAAAAAATCTTCTGAACTAGTAAGTGTGTTGGTAACAAATATTTTTTCTACAAATAACTCCGTCAAATTAAGGGTTATAGCATTGTTTATTACGTTCGAAACTTTTGACTCATACTTGAAATATTTGATAAAATGCTTGCAAGCTTCTTTGTAGCATGTCTTTCCATACTTTAATAATAATGGTGACAAATATTAAAATAATCCAACACCAAACAACAATTCTCACTATTAATTTTGATATTTTAAAAACATAAAACAAGCAACATTAAAACTATTTAAAAAGCTGTTGAAAATTTTATAGCAGCAGATATATTTTTATTGTTTTAGTTTTGTGTGTATCACAACTGTTTATTAAATAATAGAAAAAAAATCTTTTATAAAAAATAATGATATACGGTAGCCAAACAAAAAAAAGTTTTACCTGATTTGTTCAATAAAAGATACAAATTAAAATGTTATAATTTCAACTACGAACAAATTTAAATATTCTTCCATTGATAAGAAAAGTAAAAATTAAAAAGTTTCAAAATATAAATACACAGTTGATTAAAAGATACATTTATGGTATACCTATAGTTTTTAATTTAATCAGAACTCAAAAATTTTATCTTAAACTTTTATATTTCATTGTGACACACACTAAAACAACAAAACAATAAAGCAAAGTCAAAACTCTGATCAAAGTGAATTCTCGTCAAAATTAGGAAACAGGCTACAAAATTAACATTTTTATTCAAAATAATTCCGTGCCAATATTTTCAACAATATCGTATTTGGTGGAACCTAAAATGGTTCCATATAAAAGACATTTTTATCTACAACCAATATTCAGGAATCCAAATGGAAATAAATATACAATATTAATAAACTCTGTTCAATTGAGTAAATGGATGGAAAAATACCTCAAATTTCGTTTCAACAAAAACGATCACTGCCTTTGGAACCATACAATATTAATTCAAATGTAAAAGAAAAGCATCCAAGTAATGTTTAAGCAAATGATTCACACGGGTTAATGTATCATAACCAAAATAAATTCGCCACTGACATACAAAACATCAATTGCACCAAGAAATATTGGTGCTATACTGCTAATCATAAAGTCGATAATCGCGTGGACCAAGGCAGATATCGGTTTAAGTGAAACATTTACATACCCCTGGAGACTGCAGTGAATCGGTTCGATGGCACCTCGAATCTTCCTTAAAGGAATGTCGTTGGCAGTGATATTAGCTTAATATTACATATTGATAAAACACAAGCCACTCCCATCCGTGCCGGAACCACTTTGAGCATAATTCTGACTTCTTGTACTTTTGAGCTCGCTGAAATTATCGGTGTGTTCACATCGGCCCGTCTGATCGACACATGTAGTACACTTAGAGACTAAATTATTACTAAGACAATATTTGTAACTTGCACTCGCAGATCGCTTGTGTGTGCGGGGTACGGCGTGGCGGCGCTCCCCGAGGGCGGGGTGCTAGCAACGTTGGCCGATGTAGTCGCCGTAGGAGGCGGACACCTCCTCCGACTGGTAGCGGGTCAGTTTGATGCTGCGCCGCAGATCGGCTGTAATCGCCGCCTTGTAGCCCCCCTTTCTTAGGAGCGAGTCGATCGTTTGTATTTGGTCCCAACCTGAAAATATTTATCCACACATGTCTTAGTGCTCTCATGATGCATAGACTAAGATCCCGCGAGTGTATACCTTGCTCTGTGGCAACTTGAGGTAGGTATGTGGCGGTGCGCTTGGTGCCGCGCTCGCTGACGAATTCTATGCGGATGCCATGCTTGCCCAGCTTCCAGTCCAGGTAGTGCTCGGCCTCCTCGAAGTGCTGGAGGATGGACACGGACACAGACAGCCGCGGCACCTCTTCCCGCGTGATGGGCGAGAAGCGCGAGTCCTTTAATGCACTCGTTATTGCGTACTCCCGAAGACCTGGGAAGTGTTATTTAAAAAATATTTAAACAATTGGTCTAGCTAAAATTTGGAATGTTAAAGAAACATTTCCTTGTCAAGAGTAATTTATTAAATTAGTGTTTAATAAAAAAATATTTTAAGTGTTGAAATAAAACCACAAGCCCTCGGTATAAATTAGCTGCCAGCATACAGCTGAGACCGGCTTATTTTATTATCGACTTTCCGCGACCTTGTCTGAGGTTTGCGAGTTTTCGGTCAGTCATGCGTAAAATCAATACTTTTGAAATTAATTATCTTCTTTGTACAAACCAGTCTTAACAGAATTCATTACATTAAATGGAAAATTGCAAGAGCTTTTCTAATCTTTAGGTAGGCAATTTATTTCTTGAAAATATTACATGGCACAAATAATGTAGTTACAGCATCTTGGCTTCGTACCAAACACAACCGAATTTATTAGAATGTGCAAAATTTTCACATCAATAATAAACAAAGCCATATTTTTGGATTGTATATCAAGAGGAGAAAAGGTCAATTTTGTTAAATAAGAAATACCTTTATTTTTAGATTTGATTTCATTCCCAATGTACCATTTGTACAGACAAAACTCCCAAAGACATTATGTGTCAAGCTGTCTCATGAAAACTTAGATTACAGTTTCCGCAACTCTATGTCTAGCGCGTATTATTCGTGATGAAAACTTTAACAGAATATTTTAACTAGGGTTGTAACGGAACTCCGCTTCCGCATCCGCAAGTGCAGATCTTCCTCAATAAATATTAACTCCGCACCCGCTTCCGTTTTTTCTTATTTATGCGGCTTGCGCAGGTCAACTAACTATAATTATTATTAATTATGATATATTTTAATAATATACTGTATATTGTAATTATGTACCAATCTGTATTTTGAATTAACATAGTTTTAATTTTTATTTCTTTAATAAATCGCAATAAAAATTTTTTTTTGACCTCCATTTCCGTTTCCGTTTACCTCCGCTTCAGCAGAGGTGAAGCCCTTCGCCTCCGCATCCGCTTCCGTTAAAATGGCCTTTGTTACAACCCTAATTTTAACTTATAAAATTTCTAATGCTAACACTACACAACAATTATATCCACTGAAGATACCTGTAAAATGCTATTCCTCTGACTTCCAAATTTACTGCACAACTTAAAACCTTGCAAAGTGAAAATATTGTTCTAATTGCCTATATTAGGCAATAATTTATGCCATCTTAAAAACTTTTTACAGCTTTTGAACATGGTCTACATTTCATTATATGCTATTCAATTGTTATAGAGTCCATTACCTGGTGACCATGACACTTTGAGGAACTATTTGGTACACTTCGATTAACTTCATAACCCCCCATATTTTACCTTCAACTAGTTAAGCTCCACACAACAGCGGGCTGTCAAATTGTCTTAATTCATACTTTCTGCTGCTTTATTAAATCACTAGCTGTTCCCCTGCGGCTTCGTCCGCATAAAATTATGAAAATATTATATTGTTAACATTTGCCAAAATAACAATATGACATGACATGACAAACCTTAGCAATTTACTTTTTTGATGTTGGCAGTAACTTATGGTCTCTTACCCACATCAAGGTTTTTATCCAAAATATTTACCCCCTAAGTTTAATGGCGTGAAAATATATAGCCTAAAGCGTGACATAAGTGTAGGGCTTTTTATTACAAAAAGAATTATTCAGAAATATTCTGTGTTTGCTGAGTTACTAGGCAACAAAGAAGTGTGTGTTTATGCTTTATTATAATAGTATAGATAAAAAATCTAATATATTAGCAAAATTAGATTTAACATAAAACAGCAAATGGCTTTCAACTCAACACATATGAAACTCATTTTAAATTTAGACAACAAATACATTTTTGTAAAAAGGAAGTTTGTACCTAATAAAAAATCTGTCACTAAACAATCCGTTCAAGTTTTCATCATCATTCTATCTAGCAGAGAGACTAAAAACTGGTATATTTGAAAACCAAATGGTCTAAGCACTTTCATCCATTGATTCTCTAACATCTATTTACGAAATAGTTTACTCATAATCACACAGTGTCTACTCACCCGAATGTAAATGCATTGCATTAAATGTCCCAATGCAACCCCGAAGACGGTGCTCCTTGCCAATTTTCCATGTAACGAACAATGGACTGGAAGCAAGATTTTGATAAAAAATAAATCAATAGCTGTTGCTTGCGACTTTGCCCGCATGAGATTAAATACAGCCATGTTACTAATAACATAGCTTTTTAATGGAGAAAGAATTTTTTAAATCAGCCCAGCAGTTTTTGAGTTATTTCAATATATACAAAAATACAAATCTTTCCTCTTTATAATATTAGTATAGATATAAATTATAAAGATCTTTTATAATGACCATGTAAAGTATTTAAATGTAAATTTCTAGTTATAACAGTTGGCTTAACTAATATTTTATGATTGTTACATTTTTTTATACACAAGTCTTCAAAGAATATTAGTGAATGCACTTGATGTGAAAGTATGTTAAAAGCCTACAAGAGCTTTCTGCACTTAGCCTTAATGCATGATTTAAAATACTTCAATGGAGCACCCATTTGGTGTTTGATGCAATGCAATATGGCCAGCTATAATATACATAGTTTTGATGGTTTTTTTTTCTTTGCGTATTAAAGTTTTTTTCACAATTAAAATCAAATTACGATTTTTCAAAATGAAAGGTGGAAGAATCCCTCATTTGCTTAATTTGCCTAATGCATGATTAATAATTATTAAAATTAATTTATTGTCAACAATACTGTACTTAAACTTTATAAATAATTTCCGTTGAAGTAAAATGAAGAATGGTAATTACTCAACCATAGCACTTCTAAAAAAAAAACAAAAGACTCATCTCAGTATTCATCCTTTGTCTAACATACTAACCTATTGTACTTCTAAGTATATTTTAAACGACGAAAATTTATATACCCGTAACATAAACTTATTAGAAAAGTTTGTTTAAAAACCAACAACACGGTACAGAAAGTTTTTTGTTGTAAAAAGAACATGCTAAGTTATAATGTATAGCTTAATTTAACACTAATGTTGAATTGTACTATATACTTACTAGGCCTCATTAGTAAAGTTTGGAGTTTGTGGCGGGTCCATACTATGCAGCTGACAATACAAAACATCGAAACAAAAGTAACACATATCAGGAATTGCTACAGTCTCATGGTAACCATTTATAGGTCTTTCAACATTATTACTATACGAGTTGTTTAATTTCTGTTTTTTGGTTCCACAACACACTGAAGACATATTGGTTGGTATAATAGTAATGTTCTAATAATATAAGACAATGCAGTCACACAAATTCACGAGTAAACGAAATCAAACACACACACTCGTCTTCGGGGTTGAGTCCGTATATTGTGCGGCCAGATATTGTACAGTCAGATATTACGTGTACAAACAAGTCCCATTGCTTGTACACGGAATATCTAGCTCTTATTTGGTCGTGAATTATCAAAGTCGATATTGTATGGCCACGTATTGTAAGGTATGATAACTGGGATCCATTGGACGCGGAATATCGGGGCGCACAATCTATGTATACGAAATATTTGGTTGTACATTATTTGTCGGTACGGTCTGACAATGTACGACCTGGTAATCCGTGTACATCGGATGACATTTCCCTCGGGGTTTTCCTGCTACGTGTGTGACAGATGCAGCGTCAGTGTTAACTGTAAAAATGCATTTTAATTTAAGATCTTATAATCTTAGTATCATTCGAAAAAAAATACTGCTTAACATTTTTAGACCCCGCCGTGTCAACCTTTTCCTTAGCCAAGAATTGTACAAAATATTAGTTAGAAGTTAACAGGTCAAAACGTATAAATCTTCTTAAAAGAACAGTAACACAAGTTTATCAAAATATGTTGTAACTATATACCTATAAAATCATCTTATCATATGAAATATTTCTTGTAACAATCAGAAACAACGATAAAAATCACATTAGATATAAACAATGCATTTCAATTGTGGTACATGTTAATAAAATATCTTTGACGAAAATAAAGCTTAAAAACTCGAAAGTTTGGTTATGGTGCGATGGCTGTCATCGAGTTTTATTTTATTATTTTAGAAAATAAGGATAGAAGCATTGAGTTTAATTGAGGATGAAGCTATTTTCGTGAATAATGTACATGTTTTATAGATTTCCAATAGTTTTAAGTGTGACAATCTCGTACCGGTAGTTGCTATAATTCAGAGATGTTTAGTAAATGAGCATAATAATTGTCGACGATGGCGTCCGATGGAGAAATTTCATGTACGACTGATCCCAATTTCGCTGTTATTTACTCGTTTTTGAAAGTTTTCGGTAAACTGTACGGTTTGGAGATACCTACGATAGCCAAATTGCAAGAACTAGTAGAGAATACACAAGAAGGTATGAAGAGCACAACATAATATCGAGTTAAATATAAACAAACATGTTAGCAAGTTTTTTGTTTTAGTGTTGGATCCGTTAAAGGAGTTGCATGTAAGGTTGTTACGAAGAGCACTCAAGTCTATTCAAGTGAACCGTTGGGAAAGGGCTCTCATAAAGTTTTGTCATCAACAAAGATATCATCAGGAAGCTTGGGAGATTGAGAGATTTTCTTACAAGAAAGCTAGCACTCAAGTCAAATTGAGAATTTTAAAGGTAATTTTAGTTGAAACTTTTAATAGCTGTGGATTACAAAAGTTTTTTCATTAGGTAAATCCCAATTAAAACCTTTGTTTACATTTTTTAATTGGTAAATTAGAGACAATTCACTGAATATTATTAAGTTTTTTTCTAGTTTCCATTTAAATTAACATTATTAAGGTAATTATTTAGAAGATTTTTTTAACAATATTACATTTCTTATTAGATTTGTTGTTTTAGCTAATTAAATTAAACACAAAATCCAACCAATTGGTTTATCCACAAATTTGTTATAATAATTCTTTATATTACAGTTACTCCTTGAATACCAGTTTACTTGTCATCCAAAGTTTAAAAATGCTGTCAATGCATTATCAAGTGAAGAGCTGAGATTGGATCCTATTGGTCGGGATAAATTTGGTTGTGTTTACTGGCTGCAGATTGACCATGAAGCCAACCTGTGCATGTACAAAGAAGATCAGGATGAGGAGACGTGGCAATTAATTGCTAGGTAACTATAGTTCGTAACAAATATCTTGGGTACCCAAGATATTAAAAATCTGTTCTACACAGGACTCACACAAAGTAAAGAGCTGCCATAATCCTTGTTTTATTACATACACACATCTCTTTTTTCCCTTTGACAAAATAGACACAATATATTATAATATGCTTTTCAAAAATATTAGCGGCCCAAGGTCACTGGCATATTATGTACTGCCCCAGCATCCCGCAACATCCTGCTACCAAATTGTGCCATGACTCATGTTAGCATCCAAGATATATGTAATCATACTAATATTATAAATGCGAAAGTTTAAATGGATGGATGTTTGTTAGAGTTTGTAGCCTTGACGGCTAAACATATTTCAGCGAAATTAGGTGTAGATTTAGATAATAGTCTGGACAAAGACATAGGCTATTGATTTTTGTTTTTTTTTTTAATACAATGTAGAGAGAGTCGCGGGCGAAAGCTAGTCTATGATACATTTGTCATGGCATTTAATTTCTATAATAATAGATTTCCACTTATCCTGCTTATGACAAACAAAGACAGCAATGTTTATATTTTTTTGTTAAAAATTGCAATAACCATGAACTGTTTCCTCAGAGATAGGGAAGGTTAATGTATTTTTAAAAGAATTTTTCAACTGATAACACAGATAATGCTTAGAATAATATTCCCATATGCAAAGTCATCATGATTATTTCATCCTTAATATTGGACTTATGTAACAATATAGTAATTGTAAACTTTTCAAATCTTACTTCTTACTATAATAAATGCAAAAGTTTAGATGGATGGATGTTTGTTAGATTTTGAAGCCTAAACAGCTTAACAGATCTTGCTGAAATTTGGCATAGATGTAAAGGATAGTGTGGAAGCATAGGCTACTCAATTTTGTTTTTGTTTTTTTAAATTTCACGCCCACAGTCGCAGGTGAAAGCTAGTAGCATGTAATTTAGACAATATTTTTCTATCTTGTTCCTATAATAAGTTAAATAGTAATTATTCTTTATCGAAAAAGCCTGGCTTTAAGTAGAAAAACAAAGATCAACTCCAACTATTAATATTAATTGAATTAAATGTTACTACTCAATATAGTAGATAGAAACTGAACTTAGTTAAGCAATAATATATGCAGTACATTTTTAACATTGTTAACTTTCAGCAATAGAGAAGAGTTTGTCAAAATTATAAGCCAATTGAAAAGTGGTGAGCCAGTGTGTCAGCCTGTGACCAATGAGGATTCCAGCAGTGTTGATGTTCCAACTCAAATTGAGGTAACAATCAATATTCAAAATGTCAACTAATTATAACCCATAACCTAATGTAGTCTTAGAGTAAAGAATTTGAGTTACCCATAGCTGTACGGTTAAAAGAAATGTTATATTTTACAGGCTAGTAAATCAGAAGTTGAGGAAAATGAGGAAGAATTCCTAAGCCCTGAATCTGAATCTGGCAATGAAAGTGATGAGCCTAAGGCAGAGAAATGCAAAGGAGTTACAACTAAGGAAGAAGTAGAACCCCCTAAAGATGATTCACCAATAGATATTGTAAATGATACTGTAAAAGAAATAGTTGAAGAATGTAATAATTCTGTAGATAAAGTAGAAAACGAAAAAGACAATATGACAATAACCAATGAAACTGATAGTAAAAAGGATTTAGAAAAAAGTGAATCAAATATGGCCGAAATAGAGACAGATAATAAAGAAGAAACTAAAGAACAAGATATTGGTGAAGAAATTGACAAAGTAGTTGGTGATGAAACTAGTGAAAACGTTGCCAATAAAACTAGTGAAAAAATTGGCGACGAAATTGGTGAAAAAGGTGGTGATGAAATTGGTAAAAAAGTTTATGATCAAATTGGTGAAGAAGTTGGTGAAGAAGTTGGTGACGAAATTGGTGAAGAAATTGAGGAGCCCGTAATGGTAATAAAAGGGGAAGGTAATGGTGAGGATTGCGAAAGTTCCTACTTTATTGGTGAAGAGATATCTGAACCAGTAATGTTTATCTATGGTGATGGTTGGGGATGGGACAATGATACTGGCAACCCTGAAGTGTTAGAACAAGAGGACAACACTGAATTAGAAGAAAATTCAGATGTAGATAATCCAAACGAAGAAGTTTTAAATGGAGAGCATGCAAATAATGTTAAGAAAGCTAATAGTAGGGTTAAATTAAATAAAAGTGCTAAATTAAAGTGTAGATTATCGTCAGTAACGAAAAGGTCTTTAAGAAAACAATCAAATGATAATCCAGATGTAACAAAATCGGAATCAAAGAAGCATTGCGTACGAAATTTGGATAAGTCAAATGGTTCAAATTCTATAGCCACGAGTAGTGAAAAAGAATTAAGGAGAGATAGCGTTCACGAAAAAAGTACGGATTGCGAAAGTACAGGTAAAAAAACGAAAAAAATAATCAGGAAAGTGAAGAAGAGAGAAGGAATGAGAACACTTAGGAATAACAAAGAAATAGTGAATTCAATATCTGAACCTGAAAGTCCTAGGAATAGTAAATCGAGTATTATTGAAAAAAGAAAAAGCAGCGTGTCGTCAGAACATGACGGAAATGCGTCAGAAAATGTAGAAAATGAAAATGTAGAAGATGAAGAAGTAAAAATAGAGGATACTTTGCCGCCCAAAAAGATACGCTTAGAATCAACACCGGAACCTGTATCACATTCCAAAAGCGAAAACGTTGAAGATAAAAACGAAAATATCGAAAACAATGATGTTAATACAGAAAACGAAAAAGATTCAATATCAAATAGAAAGAAAATCAAAGCTAGTAAGGGTAAATTAAAAGGTAAAAAGATAATTAATAGTAAAATACAAATTAGTGAAGTAAGTAAGGATGATAATGTTAGTGATAAGACGAGCAAAGCGCTTAAAAGAAGTTTGTTAAATAAATCATTTAATGACAAAAATAAATCTGAATCTCAAAGTGACAGTGAAGACGAAGAACCAGTTAACAGCGGGAAAAGATTGAAATTCAAACCAAAAAAGATCGTAACCAAATCGAGGTAATAATACCCTACATCTATACTTCTATACTATTATAATAAAGCGTAAACACACACTTCTTTGTTGCCTAAGATGTCAGCAATTACACCATATTTTTGAATAATTCTTTTTTAATAAAAAGCCCTACACTTACGTCACGCTTTAGACTATACATTTTCACGCTATTAAACTTAGGGGATAAATATTTTGGATAAAAACCCTAATGTGGGAAAGAGACCATAAGTTGCTGCCAACATCAAGGAAGCAAAATTGCCATGCTTTGTCATAATGTCATGTCTATCATTTTGACATTTGCAATTAAATTTGACAAATGTAATCAATCAAACAATTTTTATAATTTCATGTGAAAGAAGTCGCACGGGAACAGCTAGTTAATTTAAATTCTTTGTATATTTGACAGATTAAAAAAATGTTTATTTTCAGAAAGAAAATTGAAGCTAAAATTATGGAGAAATGCTCCAGCGAATCAGAAGATGAAACTTTATATAGTTTAGGTAATTATATATATTTTGCGCGTATTTTAATAATACCCTCAAATTGTTGAGGAAAATACTGATGAATAATTTTGTATTTTAAGGTAAAAAATCGGCTAAGAAAGTATTAAAGAAGAAACCTAAAGCTAAGGAAAAAGATAAGTCAGCTACAAACATGACAGACAACGACACTCCAGTAAGACAGTCCAGACGGATAGCGCAGATGAAGATAAAGGAGGAGGCGGACAGGAGGCACCTCGAGGAGGTCACATTGAGGGAACTTAAGATGATTCATAAGAAGAAAGTAAGTTGATCATTTCTCTTACACAAACTGAATGTTCCACTAGAAGTCTAATTTTAAATATTACTGTTAAAACCATTTTTTTCTTATAGCAGGCGATAATTAGATAGGATAATAATATTTATTTCTAATCTAATCTTACTATAAATGATAAAAAAAAATAAAGGATTACTATAAATATTGTAAATGCTAACATTTAAATGGATGGATGGATCTAATATTTTAACCTGTTTTCACTGTATTTTGGCTGTATATTTTGCAACAATGTTATGGAATGAAAAGAATGAAGCATCCTGCCATATTTAAACAATATCTGTAGCCCATGTGTTGTATGTCAGAGCAAGAGGGAGGAGGAGGGCGAGGAGGAGTGGCGCGCGAGCGGTAGCAGCTCGGAGGAGGGCGGTGGGGGGCGCGCGCGCCGCCCGCCCGCCTGGCGCTCAGACTCCACCGGACCAGAGCCCGACACGGACTCCGACGAGCCGCTTTTCGAACACGACGAACCTGAATGTAACTATTACTATGAAACACATGCACAGTAACACAACTATATATCTACCTACACTAATGTTATAAACAGGAAAGATTTTTATTTTTGTATGTATTGTAATAACTCAAAAACTACTGGGCAGATTTTTACCATTCAGACAATTTCACCATTAAAAAGATATATTATCTTAGCATCTATACGTTGAACTATATTTTTTTTAATTTCACGTGGACAAAGTTGCGAGCAACAGCTAGTTATCTATATATCTGTCTGTTAATGTAATAAAATGTAAACACAAACTTTGTTATGTAGAATGTCAGCAATCATAGCCTATTGCTGTATTATTCTTGTTTTAATAAAAAGCCCCACACTTGCGAGATGCTTTAGGCTATATTTTCACGCTATTAAACTTGGGATCAGGGTAACAGCTAATACAAAAAAATGAAGACTATAAAATCTCACACAGAGTGGTATAATCCTTTTTGGTCACACAAAAATCTATAACCTATGTATTTATTATTTCAAAAATAGCAATACTAATATTGCATTAGTTATTTGCACACCATGTACAGTAATTATGTCTATAGTAGTAATGCGTCTTCTTAAAAAAAACCTATTTACTCACTGATTGCATATCTTTTTAATGAGCAAAACAATTTTGAGGTCTACTTTTGTGTTATTTCAATATACACAAAAATACAAATCTTTCCTCATTGTAATCTTATTTATAGTAGTAATTATTCTTAATTTTCCAGTGGAGGCTCCCAGATCAGACCATGAGTTCTCCCCGGAGTCGGACCTGGAGAGTGGGGAGCCCA